ATGTTATAAATCCCAATTGTGTTCATTTTGTGTATGGCCAGGACATACGGAATTTTTATAGTGTGTTATGAACACTACATCTCTAAATTATTAAGTTAAATGCAATCTCCATCAAAATTCAGATAGTATTTTTCTTTTTGGTGTGGCAGTGGGTACAACAAAAGTATTTCTAACGTATCTGAGATAAACTTCAAAATAACATAAATTTCTGGGACCAGCAGTTAGCGTAATGGCTATGTTGCTGGACTCGCATGTAGTCGAACACAGTTTGAATCCCAGACCCGGTGGCTTAAACTCATCTGGGAGCGTGTGCGTGCGTGCCCAAGATCCCGAGAGGAGAATGGAGAAGGGATTGCAGCATGGCCATCCTCCCTGGAGGGTGATTTCTCGCTTTCTATCTCTCTGTCTCTGTCTGTCTGTCTGGTGAGCGCACATGCCCTATGGCAAAGACCTCTCAAAAAAAAAATATATATATATATAAATAAAAATAACATAAATTTTTCAAAAAGATAGTAACTTGTTCTAACAGAGGATTTTTTTTTTTTCATTTTGAAGAGGGGAAATCAACAAAATACTTTGATTTTCAAGATTATACAATTAGTCTCATGTAATTAGCTGAGTGTTTTATCTCATTTATAAAGTATTTACTCAAGTATCTAAAAATAACACAAAATATTTATTTTAAACTCCAAAACAGATTTTCCAAAACCTTTTTTTTTAAAAAGTTTAACAGAAGGTGAGTACACTCATCAGAGAGACAGAAAGAGAGGAAGAAGGTGAAAGCAGGGCCCAGTGGGGCACAGTCACAGTAATCCTTTCTCCCTCATTTCTCCATCCTGTCCGGATTTTGAGCATACCCCCCAACACAGGCACCCAGTGTGTTTTTCAAGCTGCCAGAGCTGGGATCCAAACCTAGCACTTGGCCTTGTGGGATTCAACTCCCTATCCAGTATGCCACAGGGCTTGCCCTCTTCTAGTAACTTTTTAAATCTTAAAATAGAATTGTCAATACTTTGTCTAGCTTCACAAATTCATTTTTAAGAGACTATCATGGCCCTCATACGCCCTTCTTTCAGAAAGTGGATAATTCTGAATCTTTAGAAGAGAAAGCATATTGTGAAAATAAAGAGCAGATATTTGAGTGAATATTGGAAAAAGAGAGTTAAACTGCTACTGATTAATTCTGTATTCTAGCCTAGGCTTAGTAAAAGGCTATATCGCTCAGGACAAGTCATTTTACTACACTACACTCCTCATTCACTATTAAAAAAAAAGAAACACAACTGTAAAAAGTCTACATATCTATCTATAATTCTTATATGAACTATTTCAGGAAGCCTTGGAAGGGGAAGGAAAAAAAAATACAGCAACTATTTCCAAATATGTAAACTGTATTATTGAACATGAGTCTGGAAAAGGCTAAAAAAAAGTAGGAAAATCAGAGGACATGTGAGACAAAAACAATCCTCACAGAAAGTAAGAGTGCAACATTAAGGAAGGCAATCCCAAACTTGTTAACAATCATAGTAAACACACACCACTTACTTATCAGTAATTGGGGGCACACTAATAGCCACGTGCAAAATTAAAAATTAAATCAATTCCTTACAACACCAATAAAGAGGTCCTTTTCCTAATTCTGTCCAAAAATAAGGAAACTGATACATCAAGAAAGATTAACTTCTGTTCATCCTTGCTGGAAGTGGCAGAGCTGGGATCTGAACCAGTGTCTTATACTGAAAGATAATGACTAGCCTATAGGGAAACATATACACTAGAGGATGATACCATGGGGTAAGCAGATGGGTCTATTTTAAGAGGCAAACTACTAAGAGTATGAGCAGCAAAAATTCTAATTCAAGGATGAACAAACAAGAGAACATGAAATATAAGCGGTAAGTAGATCTTAAATATGCTATAATTTTAGAAAAGGGATTTCAGATGTACTGCCAAAGAGATTTATAAATGACTTGAAATTAGAAAATATATTTAATTGCATGTTTTATGACAAAAGAAAATGTTTTAGAAATATTCCCAAAAGAATAAAATGAAATATTAATATCAATAGAACAAGAGGAACTATGTTCACACATTACATATGAAGCACTGAATGTTTTGTTTACACTCTATCTCATTTAATTCTCACAATATATTAAGTATTGTTATCTTCCCTTTTTTTTAAAGAGAGATTTTTGCTATAGGGTCTGTGTGTTCGCCAGAGATGGAGAGACAGAAAACGAGAAATCACCCTCCAAGGAGGATGGCCACATCTCAAGCCCTTCTTCTCCATTTTCCTCTTGGGATTCTGGGCACACATGCACATGCACCCAGTGTGAGTTTTAAGCTGCTGGATCTGGGACTCAAACTGTGGTTGACTACGTGGGAGTCCAGTGACGTAATCGCTATGCCATCTGCTGGTCCCTGTCATCTTCATTTTAAGAAGATAAAAATTAAGGCTTGAGAAGATTAACCACCTACCCAAAGTTAAGCTGGCAATGAGTATATTTGGTAAACACTAGGAAATTGAGTAACACACAAAAAGTAGTAAAATGAATATTTGGTAAATTTGGATCAAATTTAATTCTGCAGAACTCAAAAGTAATTTTTTCTTTTTCCTTCAAGGTCATTAAAAAGATTAGACTGCCAGTAAGCTCTCAGGATTATGGGTGGGAAAAGAAATCAAAACAACATGGTAAAGTTGCCCAAGTTGTCTGGGATACATCTCATCAACATTCCCTTTCCCTGCCTTTGTACCTGTGGTCACAGGAACATTCAAAGAGGCCAAAGGTCAAATCTGAATAAAGGGAATATCTGGGTTAAGAAAATAAGGTGCAAACATTCATGAAACTATTATGAATATGCGTAGCCAGTAGTGTAGTGGTTGGTGCTGGATCCCACATGGCTGACAGCTCAGTTTAAGTACTAGACCCAGCAGCCTGAAAAACATATTGGGCATGTGTGAGCACAAACGTGTGCCCAAGGTCCCAAAAGGAGAGATGGAGGAAAAGAGACTGTGGTATGATCATTCCCCCTGAAGAGTGCTTTCTCACTTTTCCTCTCTCTCTCCCCCTTCTCTGTTTCTCTCTAGCAAGCATATGGGCTCTCTGCAAATTAAAAACAAACAAATAAACCACCACCAACAAAAAACCCACAAAAAATAAAGCTATTATGAACATATGCCACATGTAATGCCAATTCATCCATCTAACACTGGAGGAGAGTGGTTCAGCATGATCATGGCAGAACTACTGTAATGCTCTTGGTTTTTAATAAAAGAAAAAAGACAACATGGATGGAATATTATCTAAGTGTATCGGCAGGCAGGTAATAAGAGAGAGCGTTGATAAAAACAAAATAAACTAAAATGAATAAAAAACAATACAAGTAGATAAAGGGAAATTTGACAATATAAATAGAAATATGAAGAGAAGAAGAATAACAGCTCACATTGAGAAGGGCAAAGGAAGCTAAATACCCACTTTCCTGCCTCCACTTCCATGTATAGAAACTACAGGGCCGGGGTTCTACAGAGTAGCAATGGGATTCTTGATAAGATGCAGTGGAGGGAACCTGCAGTTAGCGTAATGGCTATGACGCTGGACTCCCACGTAGTCAACCACGGTTCGCATCCTGGACCCGGTGGCTTAAAACCCACTCCGGGTGCGTGTGCGTGCGTGCTCAAGATCCCAAGAGGAGAATGGAGGAGAAGGGATTGCAGTGTGGCCATCCCCTCTGGGGGGTGATTTCTCGCTTTCTGTCTCTCTGTCTCTCTCTGTCTGTCTGGCGAGCACAAGCGCCCTATAGTGAAAAACCTCTCTCAAAAAAAAAAAAAAAAAAAAAAGGATGCAGTGGAGAAGTCCACGGTTTTCTCCTATTTTTTTTTGCATATTCCAAAGAAATGGAAGAGGGACATCTAATATTTAAAAACTGTTCTCTCTTCACACGAAATAAATAAAGCCAACTACTTCTAGGTTGTCCAACCAAGGGAAGAAAAAGGAAGTGATTCAAAGTCGAGCTTTTGACCAGAAATAAAGATCGTGTACGTGGCACATTTTATTTGTGCGACAGGAGTACGAGTGCATGCGTGAACGCTGTCTGAGAGGCAAAGAAACTAGATAGTTGATGTTGTGAAAAACAAAACAAAACAAAAAACACAGTGCTCACACTCAGAACTTTACCAGGATTGTGATGATGGGCACAGTTCAACCATGAATATTTCAAATGGAAAATATCTGCCCTCTCTATTCCAAGAATTATTAAAAACACCAAATATAAGCAAAATGTTTATGGCTAAAAGAAAATAGGTAAGAGAAGAAAATGATGAACTGTTATTTTGCTCCTGAAGAAAGAATTAAATTTGAAATCTGTATCTATGAAACAAATGACAGGGACTGTGGACAAGTTTATAGCTTTTAGAAATAGGTTAACCCTCAACACATTATTTTAAAAAAAAAACTGTAATAATGAAAAAATGCACACTGAGTACAAATGAATAATTATCATAAGTAACATAATTTTAATGCTAAAAGGCAGAATCTTAATAGAAACCCTGTTATTCAAGCAAAACACATTAATAACTGTTCTTTTTATAATACAGTTGAGTGTCTGCTTGCTTGTCTCTATCCTGCGTGGTACCAAGAAATTTCTACACTAGTTCATCTATGGCATAGTTCTGAAACCATAGATTGAGAACCCTCTTCTTCTTCTTTTTTTCTTTTTCTTTTTAGGTTTTTGCCATAGAGTGCATGTGCTCCCTGGAGAAAGAGAGAAAAACAGAGGAGAGAATGTGGTAAATCATCCCCCAGTGGGGATGGTCATGCACCAATCCCTTCTCAGGATTTTGGGTGGGTGTGCTGTGCACACGACACACGCTTGGCCAAATTTTCAAGTCTTCAGGTCTAGCACTTGAACTGTAGACAGCCATGTGGGAGTCCAGCACCTTAACCACTATACCATCTGCTGGTCCCAACACCCTAATTTTTAAAACTGAGAAGGCCTACCTTTGGTGGCATTTGTGGCTAATGGGTCCTGCTCTGCAGGCTGGGACCACATGGGAGACCCTGATTTGAAGTGGGTCCAAAGTAAAAGGTCAGGTGCACTGGTGAGTGCCTTGAGATCCCAGCTACTTAGGAGGGTAAGGCAGGAGGACTGTTTTCGTGGTGACACCCTGTCTTAGAAACAAGCAAAAGTAAAGTAAGTAAGTAAAGTGAGACTAAGGCAAAGAGGTAAAGTTCATCACAGGCAAACCAGATCAAGGCCAGAACCCAACTTTCTTATTCTGGTATTCTCTCTGCCATGTAGTGTTAACTCTATTTTCTTTGTATTAGTTTCAAGAATAAAAAGAATATGAGGGGTTCTCTTGCTGACTCTGTAAATAATTCCACTATCTCTCTTCTTTCTAATCTCTTTCTGGCTCAAGATCATTTAACTTTGATATCAGTTATTGCTAATACTAGGGAGATCAAAGAAGTTAAAAAAGAAAAGAAAAATCAACCTTACTAAACTCTTTCTGTTCAAGAGTAATCATTAGGGTAAGGTGTTTAAGCTAAAAGTAGTGATGTGGAGGAAGCCCCAACCTCCCTGTTACTGGCTGAAAGTCAAGAAAATAAATTTTCAAATGGCATCACAGAAGAATAAAAGACCATGTTAGACTTCAAACACTGAACTTAAGTCTCATTCTGTGAAAATCCCTTTAACTAAATGTTGGATGTTTGGACTATGGCATCTAAATAAAAAAATCAAGTAAACAAAGGACGACTTTCAATTTAAGGACTCAGATGAAAAATGCTAGCGATTCTCACAATCTCAGATTTCTCATCAGAAATCGATGTAAAATATAACAAACACAAGCTTTATAAAGGAAAAATCTCTATACCTCTTCTTAAGAAAACCGAAACTGCTTTTAAGTGAATGGGCTTTCAATAATGTTAAGCATACTTTTTTTTTTTTTTTGGTAATAAATACAACCCTTACACGAGTAAGGGATTCAATAAAGCTTGAACCCTGAATGATTCTTAAAATTATTCGTGAAAAGTAAATCTACACGGCCGGCGAGTGTGAACAAAATTTTTTTTCAGTTCGTCCCTAGAAAGTCACTTCATGGAGCCTACAGGGGTTTACTTTGCGTCCTTTTTAATAGCGCAATCCTAAGACTATTTCAAGAGTCTAGGTTCGCTTCATTGCCTTTCCCGAAATCAAAGACTGTTATTTGCCTCAGCAAGACAGGAAGCCAATAAACAGGAAAACTCAAGCAAAGGGCGACACTTCCAAGGTCGTGAAACCCCACGACCTCCCAACTGCAAACGAGACCTCGGGGCTGCGCTCCAGCTCTCTCCCGCAGACACTGACCTTAGGAGTCTGCGAGATGCCCGCGCTCCACGTAACTTTTCCTGAAACATTTTCTGGAAAGCTTGGCTTTTCCTAGCAGACACTGAGATACCCAGGCTTCCGGAATCGCGAGCTTCCGGAGCGACGCAAGACCCGGAAGTGGCTGACAAAAAAAGGGGACATTATACCAACGAGAGAATGGCGCTTCGGCGCGCTGCGGCCGGCCCGGAAGGGCCCAGCAACGGCGGGGGGCCGCGCGCCCC